TCTCTCTCTCTCTCTCTCTCTCTCTCTCTCTCTCTCTCTCTCTCTCTCTCTCTCTCTCTCTCTCTCTCTCTCTCTCTATCTCTCTTCTATCCATCTCTCTCTGTCTCACACTCACACACTTGCAGTTTGTCAAGGGTGTTGCTTTTTGCTCTCCATCCTTTTATGGATTATATTATTATAATATATAGACTGTAGGCACCCTTTTTTTTTTTTAACACCCGCAACAACAGATAGAAGTGACAATAAGAGCATGCACTCCTACGTGTCATGCAGGGGACTCCATTCCATTGGTGGGGAGCTGCACCTGCTGGAAACCGGGTCCAGCACCCTCTGCATCCAGACACTATATGTCCATTTTGTGGTCATGGGCTCTATACTGAATGGATGGTCATTCGTGGTGAACGTTCTTCCTTTATTTTGGCCTGCAATTGACATGCCATTCGTCGGGAGTGTATGGTGGGCATGCTCACAGTGGCAATTGTTGTACTTAGAATGCTCAGCTAGGTCTTCCATGTGTTCATCCACCTCATCCTTACAAATTATGTCCTCTCTGTCATCAAGGACAGACTCATTCTTGAACCTCGTCTGATCCTTTCCCTTGCCTTCATCTTCATTCCACACTCTGTACTTTCCCTTACTTTCCCTTTGCCCTTCTTTGTTTGTCTTCTCTCTATGTCTCTTCCCTGTGTTTATCCTCTCCCTTTTTACTCTGCCTCTTTCTCACAGCGTACAAGTGGGCCGTTGTGGCACACAGGGATGAGGGCAGCTCGCGCTCAACTTCATCAACGTGGCGAGCCTTGTACGTGAAAGGCACGGTGAAGAAGAATAAGAAAAATGAATGGTTTCAGTGTGCCCCTCATGTTGGTCTTGTTTTTTATTTTTATCGTTGTTTCGCAAAGTGCGCTCTTTTAGTTCATAGATACGTCACAATATATATACCTCCTGATGAGTTGGTGAAACTCTGACAAAACAGTTTGTCACAACCCGTCATTTGTTGTCCTACTCTCCCTCTCTGCCTATGGTTTACCGGCCAGCTCTGTTTGACGATACATATACATATAAAATAATAAAAATATTATAAAATTTGTGCTAGTGTGCTGCTTCGACAGCAGACGGATGTGTGGCCAATTGGCGCTTAAACCACTAGTACCTCCGAGCCTGTTTTTGCCAAGCCTGAATTTCACTGTGCTTCGAGTTCTGCCGAGCCTGGGTCCCACTCTATTTTCTTTTCTCGTACTCTCACGCAAAGAACCAAAAAAAAAGTCGTGGGCGTGAAACTCAAGAAAGAAGGGAAGAAAAAGAAGGAAAGTGGTAGTGTGAGTGTGCCTTCAGTGAGGGTGTCTCAGCCCCGTGAAAAAAACGGAAAGTGGTAGTGTGAGTGTGCCCTCACTGACTGTGTCCTCAGTGAGGGTTGTCAGGTTCCAGAAAGACCAAGAAAAAACAAAAAAGGAAACACGTATTCAGCCGTGAAATTGGCTGGATACATTCCTCTGAGTGCCAGTGTGGGGTTACAATCCTCTAAGGAAACACAGCTTGAGCAGATCACGGATTTTGCCCTGCCTTGCTGGCAGGGGGAAGCATAAGAACGAGAAAAGCAAAGAAAAAAAGAAAACAACAACACCGACAATCTGAGCGTTTTAGCAGTAAGATTCATTCTGTGGAAGTGAGCAGGGCCTCCTAGACTACCCTGCCCGGCATCATTGCAGTAGAGAAAGTGTCTTCTTTCAAGAGCGGGCAGTAAAAAAATAAACTTTGTTCTTCTTGCTGAGCCTCTAGAACCTCCAAACCCCTCGACTCTCTCTCTCTCTCTCTCTCTCTCTCTCTCTCTCTCTCTCTCTCTCTCTCTCTCTCTCTCTCTCTCTCTCTC